CCCTACTTCACGGTTTTTCACTTATCGCGGGGCTTCAGGGTACGGATCCACCGCGATAAACAAGGGACTACTGTACCGTGAAATCAGTAATAGTCCCATGCTTAGGAGAGAGTTACTGTAAACTTAATTTTAAGTTGCTCGGACTCTGCAGTGTTGTTGCTTATGACTGACTCAGTGGCAGTGATGAGGTCAGTAACTGGTATTTGTTGTGGGAAGCTGGCAAAGTTAAGTTCTTAGAACTGCTTTCTCGGGCTGAGTCAGCTCTCTTTCTGACTGATTTCTCACCAACAGGCTTTGAATAGCCTCAGTTGCACATGACCTCATGTTCTCACCTGGTCGATTCTGATGTTTCTAAAACAGGAGTGGCTTTCAACAGAAATATCAGAAACTTCAGTTGTTTTCTCATGTTGAGAAAACAGGTCTCATTCAATTAGACTATAAACTTCTTACGCGAGTGAGGTAGAAAGAAGTGTCTTCTAGGCAGATATGATCGATTCTGTGTGAAAGTGCTTTTTTGGTGAGATGACCCTGCCATATCCTGTCGCTAAGTAACTTATGCTTCTTCAGAAAGATCTGTTCTCTACGGCCTTTGACTGAAGAGCTGAGTCGTTTGCTGTTAGGACAGATGCCTTGTTGTCTAATAGAAACAAAGGAGTTTCCTATAACCTGCAAGCTTCGGTGACAACTTCTGATACTACTGAGGTGTTTTTCCTAAAGTGCAAGGCAATACATTGGTGTTAAATGTTATTTATCCAGGATAGGACCATTCAGTGGAGTTAAAATTATTGAATAAATAAACTCGACTTCTCGTTTCTCAAAGGCATTTTACTTTCATTAAAAACGTTTCTTCAGTTCTGATCATGTATTGGGAGTTTCAGGCTTACAAGTTGTTAAATAAATAATAATAAAAGTTCAGCTGAGGTTGTATTCATTTAATGACTCAAGGTATGGACCCAATATATTTCATGTACTGATTTGTAAAACATTAGCAATGAAAAGTATTTTTACTTTTTTAGTCTTTGTATAGATCTAGTAGAGTCCTGTATGAATGGGTAAATGAGGACACAGATTGTGTTGTAAAGAGCTTTGAATGTCTTGATAAGATACAAAGGTGCTATAAGTACAGTCATTTACCATTTTTATTATGACTAAAAGAGTCAACAAATTTCAGAAAGATAACTTAAGACAGATAGGAAAATTTGACAAATAAAATAGTGACAGTGATTTTATTCAAAGAGGAATAGTTTATTTAAAAGAAAAATGGACGCAGTCTATTGAATAATATATTGTGACTTAAGGTAGCATTGTGTCCAAACAACAGCAAGAGGGATAGAGAAAGACAGACAGTCCTAGACTAAAGCTGTAAGACTGTGTGGACAGGTATTTCAAGTTCAACTGTGTATGTGAAGAATTACAGAAGCAGTCATGGCGTCTCACCTGCTACATTCAATGAGGGTGACTTTGAGTCTGCCTTCCACCAGCTTGCTGTCCTGTACCGACAGGTCCAGATCAGTGGCAGAACCCAATGGAGGCTGCACTTGGAATGGAAAGAAGGGCTTGTATCTGCAGAGAGAAACAGAAAACATCCTGAAGTCAGTCTTTACATTAAAGTAATCAGCTGTGACAAATCTAATCCGACAATTCTTTTCAGTTTTTACACCACACACAGTTATCTCAGGCAGCTGTACCAATTGAGCTAGTGGGTCCAGTTCAAAACACAATATGACCCTAGGCCTGTCGCGATAAACGATAAATCAATTAATCACATGATAAATTAAAATTATCAACTTCATTTTCATTTATCGGCTTTATCGTTTCTTCATGTCTCTCTTTCTACTGAAGACAAAAGGCTCAACTCCGGTGCTCTTCACTGACCCCTCCCTGTCTCTTTTCTCTTTAAAATCTGTTTTAACAAACCAAAATCATGTTTTTGGATCGTTAAAAGCAGCCAAGAAGCTAAGCTACGGGCTATGCTAACAGGCCGACCTCAGGGGAAAAAAAAACTCTGTCTTGGCAAAGCTCCGAAATCAGTGGTTAATTTGAGCCGGATCCTGCCGGAACAAGATCCAGGAACTCTCTCATTTTGACCGCTCGGATCCGGCAACTCAAATCTTCGCCCCTAAAAGTCCAAAGTCATCGCACATTTTTATTTTGATTATTTATTAAAAATACAACAAGAGGAGACGTTGCCCAGTCTGTGGAGTGGATGTTCTGACTGAACCACGCTCCTGCCCAGCAGAGACGTGGACTGCATGTCCCGCGGGGAGCGTCTTCATCCACCTTCAGCTGTGCGCCCTGAGACGCCTGTTTTATGCACAGCGTCTCCAGACAGCTCTGCAGGACACGCGCACAACTGCTGTGTCAGAACTCCTACATACATTACTGTGGAGCATTAAATTTCACACATAATAAATAAGCTTACAGTAAAAAAAAATACAATATGAGAAAAAAATGTTTGTGTATTAACATCACGTATCAAAACAACGGCACTAATTTGTCAAAATAAGAGCGATCAAAATGTCGAGAAGACAGTCCAATTTATTATCTAAAATAAATGGATGGATGGAGTGTCCTTAGCTGGACAGCTAAACTGAAGCAGGTGAAGGCAGTGGAAATTGAGACTGGAGCAGAACAACATGCAGGACTGAATTCAGCAGAGTCCAGGTCGGACAGTATGTGTGCGAGGGTGGGGGGTTAGGACGCTCGACAGAATCGGAGCACACAGGCTCGTTTATTGTTCTTGCTCTCTAAAATAGTAATTTCAATTCAACCTTTATTTATACAGCTTGTCAGTCTCATTGAGCCTCGAGGACTCATTTACAAGAGAGACTTGTTTTAATCGATTTAATTAAATGTTTACAAATGTTTAACAACCTGTTAATATACACCAAAATGCAGGAAATGGCATCTCTTTTATTCCAAATTATCTGGGGGAGGACCCACAGACCCAACCCCCTCTCCCCCCCGCACCCTCCCCACCACCCACCTGCTGGATTGCCTGCGGTTTTTGTTCCGGCATCAATTAGTTTACAAATTAAGCCCTGTCCAAAATTCCCAGTTGAAACCCGTGCCTTCGTGTAAAAAGTTGTTTTTCTCTGAAAGAAGAAGCTGAGAACTTGTTTACTGATTTTTTTAATTAAAAGCTTTGTGTGAAATATGCTATGCTAACGAGCTCTAACCACACTGAGTGTCCGCCATTTTGAGAACCAAAAAAAAAAGGAAAGAGAGACAATCCATGTCACGTCACAGGGCCTCCCTCCCATTTTTCTTAGAGACACGCTGCTCACTCTCTCACTATCCATCCTTTGGTCCCAACGGTCTTATACTGCAATCCAATGTTTGAAAAAAATGGTACTACACACAAAAATTAACCAACGTTTCTTCTTAAATTTGACAATAATTACAAATTATTGTCAACTTTCAATCAACATTATTGTTTATCGCAATAATTTCTGAGACAATTAATCGCCCAGCAAAATTTATCGTGACAGGCCTATATGACCCAACCCTAATCAGTCCAATTTTACCCAGTAAAAAACAAAGACGAATTCAGTCCAACACAGCTAGACTGAGTGCTGACAGGTGGACTACATCTGGTGGATTTGTGAAGAGTGTACGCAGATGATATGGTTAGACTGCGGGTCAGTCCCTGACAGCTGAATCCAGGTGTGGTCCCTGTGTGACAACTGACCTTAATGCAACTGGACTGGAAGCCTTCCTAATAACATGTTATGTCTTGTTAGCTTTAACTATCCTGGACTTCTACCGCTTTGACCCAGGAGGTTAGAAGACTGAGGCCTCGTGGATCATTTTGACCCAAGGGCAGCAAGCAGGGGGTTAAATAGTAGACTTTGTTCAGACAAATCACCTGCATTAATCATGACCCTCTGTCTATAGAAGAGCTCTGATAAGATACGGTCACGTCAGAGCGTATTTAAAGTCCGAAATTCGGAACCAGTCAATTTTCCAGTTAAGGAAGCAACAAGTTTCCGATAAACAGTTTGTGTGTGTTACTTAAGTTTTTTCCCAGAAGATGGTCTCCTTTCTTGTAAGGAACATGATATGTTGTTATGGCCTTCTTCATGCCTTTCTGTTCAAGCTTTCTGTTTCTAGTGTAGTTTGTACACGAAAGAATGAAAACACAATCTCAAATGTGAAAAGAAAATTAGGGATGGAAGTAAATAAATTCATGGATTGCAGATGAGAGGACGCTGACCAGATCAAGTTAATGGGTTAGACTGCATTTAGGGTTTACATTTGAAGCTTAGGGGAAACACCTAATCAGTAAACCTGAGACAATCACATCAGATGTTACACCAGTCAACAACGTGAAATCTCAAGAAGTCTGTGTGCTCCTGAAACACACCCTGAACTGAAGAACATGTTCAGTTTGATCCAAGGACACACACACACGCGCCTGTAGAGTTCTTATAAAAACAATCATTGCTGTACTTCATTTATTATGAATCAGGAAAATATTTGTCTAAAATTTAGGAAATACAATTATGAAAGACTAGAAAACTAGAAAATTTCTGAAGAAATTTTAAAAGGTGCCAAAGCAGCCAGAAATTCAAACATCCTTCAGTTCCTTCTCTACAGCTCAGCAGTAGTTTGGACCTTGCTTTGTAATGATCTCTTTACAAAAAGTGATGTTCCTAATGTGTAAACTAAATAGCAAGAGGAAAGAGAACTTAGACCTTAGAAATGTTAAAGCAGCTGGCAGTGGCTCATTAAAATCACCATGGTAACCACACACCTGTGTCTGTCACTCCCTGACAGCACTTTTAATAGGACAGGCAGACAGAAACAGGGTAGAAAGAAAGCCCTGGACAGCTACAGCTCCTGAGAAAACACTGCAAGGCCTATAGAAAAAAACTCGTAAACTCTAATTGGCAGAAGCATTTGGTAATCACACATCCTTTCTACGTGTCTACGGTGTTTCATTTAAGAAATGAGACAAAAGAAAGTTTAGACAGTTCAAAATTTAAAGTGTGTGTGGTATCATCACTGTCTAAGGTCAACAAATGGTGGTAAATCCTTCAAAATGTTTTGACACTTGAACAATTATTGTGTAAAAATCTTAAAGTGTCAAAATGTTAGCTCAAATCATGCAGTCATCTTTCAATGACCTGTTCAAATCTAAATAATGATTTTACTGTGATGCATGCCTGAGCCATGGAGCTCCCAAAAGGACAGGGTTTTCTTTTGGTCAGTGCCACTGTCTCCAAACCACACAACATAACGGATCTCACTCTCTTGTAAATCTTTCCTTTGGCACTTTTACCACTAATCACTTGTGAAACTTTTCTCCATCTACTCAATCCAGCCTGGACTCTACCTTTTCACACACAAAAAAAAGAAACTATCCAGATGACCTGACTGAACATTGTTGGATTTTATACCTGGATTATTGAGCATGAACTTTGGTGTTTTGATCCAGTTTGACATGACTTGATGAGGGACAGGGCGGGTACCGGAGGAGAGGGCATGCCCCAGAGACCATCTTAGCACCAACAAAACTGTTTTTTTTCTTCACTTTGGAGTAAGCTGTTGGGGTGAGAATCAGTTTTGTTTGGTGTTTCCTCAGACTGATGAAGCCTTCTGGATGGAAGGTGAAACGTCTCAGCACAAAAAAAAAAAAGAAACGGTCCAGATGAACTGACTGAAAATTGTTGGACAATTATATTAAGTGAAACCTGAAGAGGTGGGAAAGGTGGGAGGTGGGACCAGTGGGAAACATGAGACATCGCTAAATGGACAACGGGGTGTTTGAACATTCCACCTTTCCCACCTCTTCTGTTTTTTTTTTTTCTTTTTCAGTCAACCTTAATTTATACAGGTTAGTTCAAATCGAGCCTCAGTTTTGCTAATGTAATTGTGTTTCTTCAAATATAATTGCGTTTTCTCAAATGTACTTGTGTTTTAAACTTTAGGGCCACCATTTCCCATTTTTCTGGACAGTGGACCCCAAGTCCTTGAAGTCCTGCACCTTTGTGACCTCTGCTCCTTGTAGCCTCACTGTTCCACCAGCCTCCCTCTCATTCACACACATGTACTCTGTCTTACTACGGCTAACTTTCATTCCTCTTCTTTCAAGTGCATATGCATACCTCCACTTCTCCAAGTTCTCTTCCACCTGTTCCCTGACCTCATCACAGATCACAATGTCATCTGCAAACATCATAGTCCACGGGGATTCCTGCCTGACCTCTTCTGTTAGTTGGTCCATCATCAGAGCAAACAAGAAGGGGCTCAGAGCCGATCCTTGATGCACTCCCACCTCTACCTTGAAGCTATCCGTCATCCCTACAGCACACCTCACCACTGTCCTGCTGTCCTCATACATGTCCTGCTGTCCTCATACATGTCCTGTACCAGTCTAATATACTTCTCAGCTATTTTCAAAACTCTTCTAAAAACACATTTTAATGCCCGGGCTTTTGGCACAGCCTGAGACTTGCTCTGCAATAGAGTTTTGTTGTTTTAACAACAATTGTCTGAACTTCATTTATTTTTCAGAGCACTACCTCATGACCAGTTAAAACAAGTTTGTATTGTTTCTA